TCACTGAGCAACTGATGAGTCTCATCATGTGTAGATGAGGTTAAGATCTGTGCACTTCTCATGAAATGATCAAAACTTGACATATCTATTTTGTTTTAAAAACATGGCAGTGATGTGATCTTATCAGTGTTCTTTCCAAAACTGTGAAAGGATTATGGAGTACAGCAAACTATTTGTGTATTTATGGAACGGTCAGCAGACTCTGATGAGTCTAAAGGTATGAAAGCTTGTCTTTGGAATCTTGGTCGTTTCAACATGCTTCTAAAATGTCTGACAGTTTAAAAACCATCAACACAACGTGATGTGTTTTACACTATAGTCGTAGTCAGTTACACGCCTTCTGCCTACACGATTGGTTGTCAGATGTTTCCTGATAAAAACTTGAATAAGTAATATATCCATTTCTACAAACACTTTCTCAAGACAATGCCCCCACAGAGCATCTTGAAATCCAAAATTAAAGTAATATGTCTGCTGATATTCAGTTTTTAGTCTACAAATCCAATGTGCAGTGATGACAGTGTGTGTGGTTAAAATCCAGAATATCTTCCTCTGCACCCACCTGCCACATATTAATCCACTGCTAAAAAAATTAATCCCCAACTAGTTTCCTTTCAAAGGAAGAATCTTTTTTCTTTTTTTTTTGTAAAGATTTCTGTCTTGAGAAAAGGCTGCTGCAGGTTAACACATTGTCAGTTTTAGAATTTTCACAGGATTTGTTCACAATAAGAAAAATAGGAAATAACAGCAGACTAGTCTTTGCAATGTGATGATTATGTGTTTGACAGCTGAAATACATTTAAGTGTTAAAGTGACACCAAGTCCAGTAGCAGAGGAGAAAGTTTGTAGAACAACTAGGACCTCGAATTAAGATGTTTTTGACTGTTTTCCATTCCACATTCATATGTCCTATGTAAACACATGCAAAAATAAATATGACCTGAATGTGTGTAAATACATTATCCCAGTAAATGGAAGCTAAGCTGACTTCTGTCTAAGCTGTGTGTGTTCAGTCAGAGGACAGCCTGTGTGCTGCTCTCCATGGAAGCTCCTCCTCCTCCTCCTCCTCCTCCTCCTCCGAGTGGAGCTGTTGCTGTGTTTGTGGTGAAATCTGATGCCACCATTTCATTCAGAGGGCTTTTCTGTGGCCGGCCGGCCGGACGGCTGCATTTGTCACCACTGCTTTTCATGTCACCACTCACCACCTGCTCCCCACATTCCTCTACATTCTCTCAAAGACCTCAGTCCCTCCTCCTCTCCCTTCTGCTCTTCCTCTTCATCTTTCTTCTCCTCCACCTCCTTCACTCTTCCTTCTCTTCCTCCTGTGATTATTATTCCCCTAACTCCTTACTCTTTCTCCTCCCCTTCCTTTACAGCCTACTGCGGCTACAGTTGATTCGTTCCTTTTCTCTTTCCTTGGATTCTTCATTTGATAATTACTCACTCTGTGTCTGCCTTTGATTTTTTTTTTTT